AGAGAGAGAGAGAGAGAGAGAGAGAGAGAAAGAAAGAGGACTGACTGGTGAGATGGCTCAGCTGTTAGTTAAGAGCTCTTACTGCTCTTCCAGAGGATAGGGGTTGAGTTGAGTTCCCGGCACTCATGTCAGGCTGTCTCTTTTGGCCTCCTCAGGCACCTGCAGTCACGTGCTCATACCCCCCCAACACAGACACAGACACATAATTTAAAATAAAGCTTGCATATATTTAAGTGCACTTGTGTCATGCAATGCCCACAGAGGTCAGAAGAGGGCATCAGATACCCTGGAACTGGAAATATTGACAATTGTTAGCTACCATGTTGTGGGTGCTGGGAATTGAACCCAGGTCCTCTGCAAGAGTAGCCAGTGTTCTTAATGCTGAACCATCTCTCTAAGACTTCTTAAGGGTTATAAGATACCAGTGGGCATATGCCAGGGTCCTTTGAAGCTTTGAAAGGTGATCACTGCCTGAATACTTGTTCTCAGTATTAAGAGCAGCTCATACTTGACTATGAAAACAATTGATATATGATATATATTAAATAAACATTATGAAAATTAGAAGAGTATTATGTTTTTGTGACTTCAAAAATGCATTATATTTCTATGCCTCTGTCTTCTTCTGCAACTTCCAAAACTAGCTCAAATGTACAGTGGTGATTTACCTAATGTCATCTTAATTGTTCATCTTCTTCTAGTCCACACATCCTTGGAAAAATATTCCTGCACTTTTCCTCAGCACCATGCTTTTCTAACACTCACTATGTACTTTCTTATGCCTGTATGTTTTAGACACTTATATTTTCCTATGGCCATCATAAAATGTCTTGAATGTCACATCCTCAATCTTATATATAACATTTGTACGCTATAATGATATTACAATATATCTATAAGGACGATGAACCAAAATTCTCCAATTTATTGTAAAAGAATTGATGTGTATTGGCAAATGGATTGTGAAACTGGAATATAAAACCCATGCCTCTTGATTTTCTATATTGTTCACTTACCACCAGTGATCCTGTTTCCTTCTCTAATAATTGGTCCCTTCAGCTATTTCTGAAACAGAATTTGTTCTTGGAAGAAATCTAACTTTGAAAAGTCCAATAATTCTGGCATTTTCTATTCTTATCTCTGCCCTTCATAGAGCACTTGAGCACAGTGGCTGTGATCTATCCCCTCTTGCTTAGATTATCTGTAAAATGGGGCTCCTCATGTTTGTCCCATATTATCTCACAGATGGTTGTGAATTGAAATGTGAACTCTTCTGTAAAAATCACCTTCCAGTTTATTCCAAATATCTAAACATCGTGAAATCAATCAGGCAGGGGAACAGGAAGCATGAATTTTCTGGCATTTGCTTTTTACAGCAGATAGACTGAAAAGTTAAAGAATGGGGGCTGGGTGTGGCGGGGCTGGGCATGGTGGCATGTGCCTACAGTCTCAGCTATTCAGGAGGTCGAGAATTGCAAGTTTGAGGACAGCATAGACATTTAGTGAGTGCTCTAGTTGAAAAACAAAACAGCAAAGAAAGAAAAAAAAAAAACAAGAAAAGTTAAAAGATAGGGTGCTCAGTAGAGAAAAACCTGCGTCTTTCAACCTTATCAATAAACATTAACTTTTCATCGGAAACCTTTTGTTTTTGCATCTAAGGAAGCAAAGCACAAAATGTTTTATGCATAGTTTGGCTTCTAGTCCCAAAATAAAGGTTGAGCTCATGATTAGATGAGTGGTCATATAGGATTGGCAATACCAGGCACAGAGGACATATAAAATGTTTTTATTTATATTAGCATTAGGGTCTCTGAGAATAAAAGGCAACGTTATTGAGCAAGTGTGCAGAAGAGTTCCACCACATGATCACATTTAATCTTTAATAGATAAAGGCCTATGGGGACATGATTACCCTGATTTTACAAATGAGGAAACAAGTGCTTAAATAACTTGCTTAAAATCAAATAGTTTCTTTAAATCCACCACATTGCTGAGAAGCCAAAAACATGATTGTCAGCATTAAGGTAAATTGACAGAATTATTGAGAGAGAGAGAGGAAAAAAATTCTTCTCCCTAACAAGACTTTATTTACTGCTGTGTAAGTAATTTCTTTTTAATGACAAAACAAAACAGAACAAAAAATAACAACTCCTCCCTCCTGCTGGGAATGATTTGTCCCTGAAGAAAAAGTGAAATACCAATGTCAGATTTTCTCATAATTAGTTAGCTGAGTGAAACCTAAGCTTCAGGGAAGCCTGCCATGTGAATCCCAGGGGGAGCATTACATTTTAATGCTACATCTGGAAACTGGAGTCCCGCTCCTTGTCAGAAGATAAGCTTGGCAGTGATTGATGGCCCGGTCCTCTGAGTTTCCTCTGCATTAGTGCCTCACACTTCATCATTTCAATTGCTCCTGGAGCCGCCTCCTGCAGCGCTGGCCCTGTCTCCAGCTCTAAGCACTTGGGTTCTTTATGTCATCTTAGCCTGTTTATTTTATGAGCCTCTCAGAATGCTGTTCTTGAAGTCACCACCAGTGTGAGACACATAGAAAGGTCATTTTCCAATGAATGTCTGTTCTGGTACACAGTCAAAGACTTTAATGAACTTTTGAAAAGAAGCACTAATGATTGACTTGATTCCACAGGAGCATCTGAACAGATGTCTGTCTTCTATCCCCCTCCCGGAACTGTCAGCAGTCCGTGGCTCTCATGTTCTGTGGTCATTTTTCTGTTGCTACAGTAAACACCAGAAAAGTATGGCAGTCATCACTCTGGAAAATGTAGCAACCATAGTCACAAGTGTCGATCGAGTCTATGGTCAGGCTTGGAGTTGACTATACTTCAAAGTGTTGTCAATAAAACACATTGTGGTGTTTTATTTACCAGCAGTTATCTCTTGTTAACTAATTTTTCTGGGTTTGTTAATGTTTTCAATTTCACAGTTGTTATTGATTTGTGTGTGTATTTGTGTGCACATGTGCACGTCACATTGTAAGAGTGAGTGGCAGTCAGATGACAACTTTCAGGAGTAACTTCTTTCCCTACATAATGTGGGTCCTGTGGAGCTACCTCACTGGCCTTTAACTCATTTTCCCCTTGTTCTTTTTTTCTTTTCTTTTCTTTTGCTTGTATGTGTGGTGCTGTGAATGAACACAGGACCTCATACATGCTAGGCAAGCACATCACCACTGAGCTCTATTCCCAGCCCTCTTTCTTTACTTCTTATTTTGCTGAGGCTGCCCTTGAACATACTCTATAGACCAGCCAGGTCTGGAACTCACCATCCTTCTGTGTTACTAGGCTTGATCATTTTTCTAATATGAATATGAATAATATGTAT